ATTTCACGAAAATGCATGAAAATACTCAACGTATTCTACTCAACGTATTCCAAAATACTACAAACATATAACTCACAAAATCACGATCATTAAATTAAAATATAATTAAATTAAAAAACATTACTTAAAATATAAATAAGCACATACATTAAATTAATAAAAATTAGATTACAATCCTAATTACTTTAACTAAATCATTGCTAATAACAATTTTCCAATAATATCATATTAATTTATTTACTCCTTACATTTAGAACAATGCATAAAAATAATAACCTCAAATGATTAAAATACTAACTACCTAATCTTCAGAACTTCATTACGTGGCACGCACACTTCCACTATTTCACACAACACACAATGAAGCTTAATACAAAATAATATAGTACTACAGTTTTCCAAATTCGGTTGATCTTTAAAATATGGTAACTGGTAGTTTGGCGACATTTGTAGGCGATAAAGGTTACTACCTGACACTTTGATAATAATGTGAGCAGTACTCAGTTCCGATTACGCATTATTTTGTGTGAGGGAAATGAGAGATCATGGGATATGTCATGTGATATTAATGGACGAATTACGGTTCTTTAATCGGAAAAGGGGGGAAATCGGGAAAAAATCTGGAAATTTTGTATGTGGCTTTATTCTGTGTTGTGTGAAACAGTGTTCGTGAATTTTTGGATCCCATGGCCGTAACTAAAGTGAATTCGGAATGGGTATTTATGTATGTATTAAATTTAATGTATGTGCTCATTTATATTTTAAGTAGTGTTTCGAATTTAATTATGTTTTAATTAAATGATTTATTTTGTGAATTTTACGTTTGTAGGAATTTGGTATACGTTTTAGTTGAAGTAAAGTGCAATGGAAAATAATTTAAATATCTGACAATAAGTATTTGTAATGGTTTCCGGTATGAATTCGTTGGTGACGTGTATAAGTAATAGATGATTTAGAGTAAAGTTTTTGGACATTTTATTTATTTTATATGTGGAAATGTTCATACTTTCGCGATCCGGTAATTTCCGATATGTTCTTTTTACCCGGTTTAAAGATTGAGAAAATTGTCATGTATTTTCGTGAAATTTTTTCTAATTTATGAGAAAAAAGCAGTGTACATGGATATATTGAAGAGTGTGCGCAATGCCATTTTTGTGCATTCTGGGATTTTTTTAAGTAAAAAAAGTCGTGTGTACATGGTTTAGTGATATTTTAATTAAATGATGTTATTTTGTGAATTTTATGTTTGTAGTAATTTGGTATACGTTTAAGTTGAAGTCCGTGCATGGAATAATTTAAAATATTTGACATAAGTTTGTAAAGTTTCGGTATGAATTCGTTGGTGACGTCTATAATGTAATAGATGATTTAGAGGTAAAAGTTTTTGATATTTTATTATTTTATATGTGGAAATGTTCATATTGGAAAGGGTAAATACTTTTCGCGATCAGGTAATTTCATATATGTTCTTTTACCGGGGTTTAAAGATGAGAAAATTGTCATGTGTTTTTGTAAAAAATTTCTAATTAATGAGAAAAAAGCAGTGTACATGGATATAGTGAAGAGTGTGCGCAATGCCATTTTTGTGCAATTCTGGGATGTTTTTTTAAGTAAAAATAAGTCGGCGTTGTACATGTTTATGTGTATGTGTTATTTTGAAAACGCGTAAGGAGTATGGTATTGTGCACTTTTTCCCCAATTTGCAGTGATATTTGTCATGATTAAGCAGTTTTGTTAGATAAAATTTCTAGCATAAGTGTAATTCGGCTAGTAGATTGTTGGAGAAGTGTTCAGTAGATAAAAAAAGAAAGAAACAGTCTTTACTTCTTGTGAAGACAAAATGGCGGCGGGAAAAAAAATAGAGGGTTGCTGTAGGAGAGTTGGTCGCCAAATTTTCGCCAAAAAAACGCCAAGTTACCATAATGTAAAGATCAACCCCAAATTCCACCTTTTCCGATTAAAGAACTGTAATTCGTCCGTTAATGTCACATGACATATCTCATGATCTCTCGTTTCCCTCACACAAAATAATGCGTAATCGGAACTGAGTACTTCTCACATTATTACCAAAGTCCTAGGTTTATCGCCTCCAAATTGTCGCCAAACTACCAGTTACCATATTCCAAAGATCAGCCAAACTGGTATTTCAAATGTGTCTTAGAAATATAGAACTATATAAACTTATGCAATCTGAAACCAGTGAATACGCTAGATTTGGCGCGGCATTAAATGGGCGCGTTTGCTAGATTTGGCTCTTTTGCGCATACATTTTCGCTGGAATTTTTTTTCCGATCCTCAAAATGGAATAGTACCATTATTTTGGTTTGTTTTGTTGATTTGTGCACAATGCCTAGATTGTGCAATTCGTAGACGTTTTTCTAAGTTGAAACAGAATGGTGTGTACATGGTATTCTCTGAAATTTATTGTTGTCATGTTAATTTATTAAAGCGAGGTGTGCATGTTCGTAGATTCCTTCGCTGCCTATATTGTGCAATTCGTAGATGTTTTTCTAAGTTAAAACATATCGCTGTGTACATGGATTTTTGTCAAATATTTTTGGTTAAAAACTTTACGTTTTTGCTATCTAAATTTTTTGTTTTTGTTTCGGATTTTTAGCCTTAAATTGTGTGCTCAAAACATGGTTTTTGTCTGTGCGAAAACCACATTTTTGGAGACATTTTATGCTTAAAATTTAAAATGTAGACAACAAATTTGGATAGTAATATGGCACGGTGGAGTTTCTCGCCAAAAATGTTTGGTGAGAAATTTGGCGACCTGAGGGTGTATACAAGAGTAGTTCTCAAAAAAAAAAAATCAGAGAATTGCACAATCTCGTTATTGTGCACTCCCTCGACTTTGTCCACGTACACACTGATATATTTTCACTTAAAAAGTCAAAAGAAATTCACAAAAATCCAGTTCTTCTTACTCTTGTAAAAAGCGCCAAACAAAACGTACCAAATAAGTGGGTGATTCTGCACTTCACCCCCCAAAAAATTGCTCAGATGTTTGCTATGGTGTTGCTAATATTAAAATAAAAGATATTATTTCCTTCAACAATAAAATTAAAGGAATAATCAGAATGCAAATAATGTTATACCCTATGAAAAACAAAACGAGAAATGAATCTCTAAATCCTCCACACTTACTTCTGTATAATTTGTCACAATCACAAATTTCTCTCTACATTATACAAACACTGAGAAAGACAAACGTTTTTCACATATGAAAACTTGTAAAACTGATCCTGCATAATTTACACATATCGATAAACACAATTTCATCATATTTATGATTACTATTGCTTACAAACCTAGCTTTTTTCTCAATTCTTTTTGTTACATCAAACATCTTACTGAACCTACAAATGATTTTTTTTCTCCTAATAGTAACTTTTAGGTATAAAGCCAACACCTATCCAAAGGTATTTACTAAATGGGAAAATTCAGCCTTTAAAGTGATCCTCATTACCCTTTGAAGCATGCTGTACACCAGGGTTTCTTAAACTGTGGGTCACGACTCCCTTGCGGGACCTACAGCAGGGGGGTCGCCAAAAATTTTAGCAGTTCTGATATTTCATATTATAATAATTTTACTATTATAAAATAATTTTACACAATGTATCTGAAACTAGATAAAGATAAGACAATAGAGACAAAGGAAAAAATGAAAATGTTTCGCCGCATTCTTTTTATAGTATAAATGTTCATTTTCCTTGCTTTGCATGTGACGCTGTCATTTAGTCTGTTACATATTTAAAATTTTCACATTGTTCTGAGTCTTAAAATTAGAAATTACGAGTTAATGACGTAAAACTGCAATAGTATATTACAGTACAAGTGAAAAATTGACATTTTCACTCACGAGTGTGTTGGATTTGCACAATACTTATGGAGTCACACAAATTTTTTATAAATATTATGGGGGGTCACAAAAAAATCTCGATGGTAAAAAGAAGTCATGACTGAAAAAAGTTTAAGAAACCCTGCTGTACACTATCTCTCTTCTCCCAATAAACACCAAATAATGTGTAAATATGATTGTTAGAATATTATACACATTTGCTAAATTTAAATATACACATATATTCTTGAGTAACGCATTTTATTATACAGTTATGTAGGATTTTTGTTAACTTTAACTCAAAGGGATGAGTAAAACCGAATTATCAGGAGTTCAAATAATCAAAAACTTGCAAAATCATTTTTTCATAACTGAGGTTTTCAGAACTTCAGTTTGATTCAAATTAACAGAATTATAGATTATCGAGAGTTTAACATATTTGAATATACACACATATTGTTAGAAAGGGTTATTAGAACTATACATGGAAAGAAACCGATACATTTGCATTAGATTAGTTATATTTTATGACAGGATTACTGGTTTACAAATGAAATAAAACCCAGATAGAAACTTCCAAATGGCTTTCAGTTTGAATAATTAATTTCTGATAAGAATGCTAAAAATCAAACACTTATTTTTTAATCTTTCAATTTACTTTCACAATCTCACTGTCACACAGTCACTTTTCCCTAAAATTTATTTTAGTCAGCAAATTAGACAACAGAAGAAAATCATATTTTAATTATTCTTATATATATATATTTTGTACGCTATTCTTGTCACTCTTATGTAAAACAATTCACTTTGATTAACTTGTTAAATGAGTAAAACCTATGTTTTTCTGTCACAGCATTTTCGTATTTGTCGAAATTCCATTCAACATCAAACAAAACCCGTCCAAACTCAGCTCGGGGATCTAATAAAGTTACACCACCATTACTAAACACGCTATATGCAAATATTACTGGGCAACTTAATCGTCACATACGAAAATATTAACATTACATTTTGTGATAAACAAATATACAATGGCAAACTCACTAGTTTTCTGACTGCTCATTCGAACACATGACGGAAAATTCTTGTCCTTGCAAAATAAGCACGTTAATTTAAATCAACAAAACAATTTCTAGAAAGCGTGGAAATTACTTACAAAAGCTTCTTCTTTCCTTGAAAGACTTTTGCTCCGACATGATAACAAATGAAAACTTACATATGTAAGGTTTACAAATAAAACGTATTAAACAATGATGCAACTAAAATAGGAGCACAAGAATGAAAGTTGTTTACCAACCAAAGTCGCGTATTTCTCTTATAAAATTTCGATAAAGCACTTCAAAACTGTATTAACTGCACAACTTTTATTAAGAGAAGTAGCTCAATGTTTAGATTTATTAAAAATACCTTAATAGTTCAAAACACTACAAAGCTATTCACCGATCTGCGTCGTATAATAAATAGGCTTGACTCAAAGATGTCACAAGATGCAACGAAGGAGAGAAAAGAAGAGGAAAAATATGGTCACGTGTTTAAGAGCAACAACATCCACATGTGCTATGTTTACAATAAAGTCGATAGCAGATATTCCGCTGAAATTAATTTATTTTTCTAATTTAGAAATTTATGGCTATTGCGAGAAATTAAAAAATATGCTTGGAAATGATTTCTCTTTTCTTGATGTCATCAAGTAGGGTTTTTTTATATTCAAGGAAAAACATGTGTTTTCAAAGTAATGCCAGATATCACGGTACTTATAACAAGCCATGTTAGG